CTTATCCCCAACACCCCCCACTCCACCCCAACGATGGCAGTGATCCCAATACTGACCCCACCATCAACAAAGGCAGTGACCCCAATACTGACCCTATCATCAACACTGACCCCAACAACGGCAGTGACCCCAATACTGACCTTATCCCCAACATTGACCCCAACGATGGCAGTGACCCCAATACTGACCCTATCCCCAACACAGACTGCAGACATAGTACAGGAGATGACCAGAGACTGCGGACACAGTACAGGAGATGACCAGAGACTGCGGACACAGTACAGGAGATGACCAGAGACTGCGGACACAGTACAGGAGATGACCAGAGACTGCGGACACAGTACAGGAGATGACCAGAGACTGCGGACACAGTACAGGAGATGACCAGAGACTGCGGACATAGTACAGGAGATGACCAGAGACTGTGGACATAGTACAGGAGATGACCAGAGACTGTGGACATAGTACAGGAGATGACCAGAGACTGTGGACATAGTACAGGAGATGACCAGAGACTGAGGACACAGTACAGGAGATGACCAGAGACTGCAGACACAGTACAGGAGATGATCAGAGACTGCGGACACAGTACAGGAGATGACCAGAGACTGCGGACATAGTACAGGAGATGACCAGAGACTGCGGACATAGTACAGGAGATGACCAGAGACTGAGGACACAGTACAGGAGATGACCAGAGACTGCAGACATAGTACAGGAGATGACCAGAGACTGCGGACATAGTACAGGAGATGACCAGAGACTGCGGACACGGTACAGGAGATGACCAGAGACTGCGGACATAGTACAGGAGATGGTCAGAGACTGCGGACACAGTACAGGAGATGACCAGAGACTGCGGACACAGTACAGGAGATGACCAGAGACTGCAGACATAGTACAGGAGATGACCAGAGACTGCGGACACAGTACAGGAGATGACCAGAGACTGCGGACACAGTACAGGAGATGACCAGAGACTGCAGACACAGTACAGGAGATGACCAGAGACTGCAGACACAGTACAGGAGATGACCAGAGAGACTGCGGACACAGTACAGGAGATGATCAGAGACTGCAGACATACTACAGGAGGAATAAAGGAGTATACTGGGGGTACCTCTACAAGGAGTATATTGGTAGTACCCCCTGGATAAGCCCCCCGCTCTCTATGGTAGGAGTACCCCAATATACAGGTCTGAGTCCCCCCTGGATGCCCCTCCCCCGCCCCATCGGAGTCCCCGGCTTACCGTTGAGTTGGTTTTCTTGGTTTTGCAGGAACAGCCATAGAAGCCCCTCAGGCACAGAGCGCAGGAGGAGCACGGCGGGTCCCCGGCCATCATCTAGCTGGCAGTGTTGGGGGGGGAGGTGGGGGGGGGTCCTGGAAAATAATGAAAGTTTTGACACAATTCAGCCGCAAAGTAAAAAAAAAAAAACCCATAAAAAAGGCGAGTTGTGGAGGCGAGGTGCGGGGTGTGGGGTGCGGGGTGCGGGTGGCAGCCAATCACCATCCCCGGGTGCCTCTCCGAAATGCTGAAGGACAAGTTTTCTCTGGTAGAGCAAAAAACGATTTCAGAACAAGTCAGACCAGACTGGGAGGGAGCCGAGATCGCATCCGGAACAATGGCGAGGAAGACCCTCTCCTGTGTGCGACAATGACCTGCGACCCAGCCGGGGGACCCAACCTGCCCACCGGGGTCAGGATGGAGGCGTGTGCCCCCGGGGGGGGGGGGGGAATACCTGAGGCACGCCTGATTATAATCACACAGATCGCAGAGATCACAGAGATATCACAAATCATAGAGATCACAGAGATATCGCACAGAGATCACACAGAGATCACAGAGATATCGCACAGAGATCACAGAGATATCGCACAGAGATCACACAGAGATCACAGAGATATCGCACAGAGATCACAGAGATATCGCACAGAGATCACACAGAGATCACAGAGATATCGCACAGAGATCACAGAGATATCGCACAGAGATCACACAGAGATCACAGAGATATCGCACAGAGATCACAGAGATATCGCACAGAGATCACAGAGATATCGAAAATCATAGAGATCACAGAGATATCGCACAGAGATCACACAGAGATCACAGAGATATCGCACAGAGATCACAGAGATATCGCACAGAGATATCGCACAGAGATCACAGAGATATCGCACAGAGATCACAGAGATATCGCACAGAGATCACACAGAGATCACAGAGATATCGCACAGAGATCACACAGAGATATCGCAAATCATAGAGATCACAGAGATATCGCACACAGATCGCAGAGATATCGCACAGAGATCACAGAGATATCGCACACAGATCGCAGAGATATCGCACAGAGATCACAGAGATATCGCACAGAGATCACAGAGATATCGCACACAGATCACAGAGATATCGCACAGAGATATCGCACAGAGATCACAGAGATATCGCACAGAGATCACAGAGATATCGCACAGAGATCACACAGAGATCACAGAGATATCGCACAGAGATCATCACACAGAGATATCGCAAATCATAGAGATCACAGAGATATCGCACACAGATCGCAGAGATATCGCACAGAGATCACAGAGATATCGCACACAGATCGCAGAGATATCGCACAGAGATCACAGAGATATCGCACAGAGATCACAGAGATATCGCACACAGATCACAGAGATATCGCACACAGATCACAGAGACATATCACAGATCGCAGATCCCATTCAATAGAAGAAAACACGGCCGATCCTTTATAGTTACAATGCATGTAAAGTCAGAACTTCCCGACAACTATATACTTCCCGACCCCGATATACTTCCCGACCCCCGATATACTTCCCGACACCGATATACTTCCCGACACCGATATACTTCCCGACCCCGATATACTTCCCGACACCGATATACTTCCCGACACCGATATACTTCCCGACACCGATATACTTCCCGACCCGATATACTTCCCGACCCCAATATACTTCCCGACAACTATATACTTCCCGACAGATATACTTCCCGACAACGATATACTTCCCGACACCGATATACTTCCCGACACCGATATACTTCCCGACACCGATATACTTCCCGACAACGATATACTTCCCGACCCCAATATACTTCCCGACCCCGATATACTTCCCGACCCCGATATGCTTCCCGACACGATATACTTCCCGAAAAACGATATACTTCCCGACACGATATACTTCCCGACACGATATACTTCCCGAAAAACGATATACTTCCCGACAATGATATACAGTTGTGACCAAAATTATTCAACCCCCAATGCTGTAAAGGGGTTTAGGGACTATAGTGTACATTTGGAATTGTATTCAGAATCAAATCCTACAAGGACGTTGTAACTACCCAAATGCAACTAAAATGACATCAATTGTTTATGTAATACAGTAGTAAATGGTTCTTATGTGGTTTCTTCATTGCCACAATTATTCAACCCCTTAAAGACTACCACTCTGAAGAACAGAGGTTCATACAGGTGCTTTCCATCAGGTATTGAAAACACCTGTGGATGTCACCGAGCAGCAATCAAGCATAATAAGCACCAATTAGGCAGCTTTAAAATGACTGTGATACTCAGCTCCTTCTAGACATTTACTGGTGTGGTTACAAACATGGTGAAGGCAAGAGAATGGTCCAGGAAGACAAGAGAAGAGGTGATTTCTCTTCACAGGAAGGGCAATGGCTATAAGAAGATTGCAAAGATGTTAAACATACCAAGAGACACCTTAGGAAGCATCATTCGCAAATTCAAGGCAAAGGGCACTGTTGAAACGCTACCTGGTCGTGGCAGAAAGAAGATGCTGACTTCGACTGCTGTGCGCTACCTGAAGCGTAGAGTGGAGAGAAGTCCCCGTGTGACTGCTGAGGAACTGAGAAAAGATTTGTCAGATGTGGGTACAGAAGTTTCAGCCCAGACAATAAGACGCACACTGCGTAATGAAGGCCTCCGTGCCAGAACTCCCAGGCGTACCCCCTTGCTGTCTCCAAAGAATAAGAAGAGTCGACTGCAGTATGCCAAAAGCCATGTGGACAAACCACAAAAGTTGTGGGATAGTGTTCTGTGGACTGATGAAACAAAATTAGAACTGTTTGGGCCCATGGATCAACGCTATGTTTGGAGGAGGAAGAACAAGGCCTATGATGAAAAGAACACCTTGCCTACTGTGAAGCATGGTGGAGGGTCAATCATGCTTTGGGGCTGTTTTGCTTCTGCAGGTACAGGGAAGCTTCAGCGTGTGCAAGGTACCATGAATTCTCTTCAGTACCAGGAGATATTGGATGGAAACGTGATGCAGTCCGTCACACACCTGAGGCTTGGGAGACGTTGGACCTTTCAACAGGACAATGATCCCAAGCATACCTCCAAGTCCACTAGAGCATGGTTGCAGAGGAAAGGCTGGAACATTTTGGAGTGGCCATCGCAGTCACCAGACTTAAATCCGATTGAGAACCTCTGGTGGGACTTAAAGAAAGCAGTTGCAGTGCGCAAGCCTAAGAATGTGACTGAACTGGAGGCCTTTGCCCATGAAGAATGGGCGAAGATACCCGTAGATCGCTGCAAGACACTTGTGTCAAGCTATGCTTCACGTTTAAAAGCTGTTATAACTGTAAAAGGATGCTGTACTAAGTACTAAGATTGAATGTCACTTGGGGGTTGAATAAAACTGATAATGCTGTGAGCACAGAAAAGACATTTGTGGTTATTTCATTATAACTGTTATGTTATATTTGTCTGACCTACAAGTGCCTCTTTAATGTAAATGTAAGCAAGATGACTGAATGATCAAAAGCAATGTCAAACTGGCCAAAACACTCAATTTCAGTGGGGGTTGAATAATTTTGGACACAACTGTACTTCCCGACACCGATATACTTCCAGCCCGCAATATACTCCCCGCCCCCAATATACTCCCCACCCCTGATATACTTCCTGCCACCAAGACTGAAGGGGAGGAGCCGGTACACATGTGCAGGACTAAAGAGGAGGAGCCGGTACACCTGTGAAAGACTAAAGGGGAGGAGCAGGTACACCTGTGAAAGACTGAAGGGGAGGAGCTGGTACACCTGTGCAAGACTGAAGGGGAGGAGCCGGTACACCTGTGCAAGACTGAAGGGGAGGAGCCAGTACACCTGTGCAAGACTGAAGGGGAGGAGCCAGTACACCTGTGCAAGACTGAAGGGGAGGAGCTGGTACACCTGTGAAAGACTAAAGGGGAGGAGCCGGTACACCTGTGAAAGACTGAAGGGGAGGAGCTGGTACACCTGTGCAAGACTGAAGGGGAGGAGCCAGTACACCTGTGCAAGACTGAAGGGGAGGAGCCAGTACACCTGTGCAAGACTGAAGGGAGGAGCCAGTACACCTGTGCAAGACTGAAGGGGAGGAGCCGGTACACCTGTGCAAGACTGAAGGGGAGGAGCCGGTACACCTGTGCAAGACTGAAGGGGAGGAGCTGGTACACCTGTACAAGACTGATGGGGGAGGAGCCGGAGGAGGGATATCAGTAAATGTACATATTATATATGATGGAAGTGTAGGGGGCAGGGAGCATGGATCGGGGGCGGGGAGCCCGGCATACATGTTCATTGACATGTGTAAGTCAGACACTTTCCTTTGAGGAGTCATGGTGTTCACATGATAATATCTGGAATGACACCTGAGGAGAGGGAAGGCTGTCAGTCATAGCCGGGGGGCCACACCTGTGATTGGATCTCTCAGCCAGGGAAACATTTAACTGTTTACTGACATTTCTCGGATAGATTTCCATGTGCAGCGGACAGCAAAGGGTACAATGTATGTGAATGCAGGAACAGGAATTCTGCGGCCGAGTCCTCCTGCGATGGGGGCCGAGGAACGTTCATCTATGAAAGGTGAGGGCCCCAGAAACCTTCATCTATAAAAGGTGAGGGCCCCAGAAACCTTCATCTATAAAAAGTGAGGGCCCCAGGAATTTTCAGCCCTAAAAAGGTGAGGGCCGCAGGGACGTTTCTTCACAAACAGTGAGGGCCCCAGGGACATTCCTTCATAAAAGGTGAGGGCCCCAGGGACGTTCCTTCATAAAAGGTGAGGGCCCCCAGGGACGTTCTTTCATAAAAGGTGAGGGCCCCCAGGGACGTTCTTTCATAAAAGGTGAGGGCCCCAGGAACGTTCCTTTATAAACGGTGAGGGTCCCAGGAACGTTCCTTCATAAAAGGTGAGGGCCCCAGGGACGTTCCTTCATAAACGGTGAGGGTCCCAGGAACGTTCCTTCATAAACGGTGAGGGTCCCAGGAACGTTCCTTCATAAAAGATGAGGGCCCCAGGGACGTTCCTTCATAAACGGTGAAGGCCCCAGGAACATTCCTTCATAAAAGGTGGGGGCCCCAGGAACGTTCCTTCATAAATGGTGAGGGCCCCAGGAACGTTCCTTCATAAAAGGTGAGGGCCCCAGGAACGTTCCTTCATAAAAGGTGAGGGCCCCAGGAACGTTCCTTCATAAAAGGTGAGGGCCCCAGGAACGTTCCTTCATAAAAGGTGAGGGCCCCAGGAACGTTCCTTCATAAAAGGTGAGGGCCCCAGGAATTTTCATCCCTAAGGCGAGGGCCCCAGGAACGTTCCTTCATAAAAGTTGAGGGTCCCAGGAACGTTCCTTTATAAACGGTGAAGGTCCCAGGAACGTTCCTTCATAAAAGTTGAAGGCCCCAGGAACGTTCCTTCATAAAAGTTGAGGGCCCCAGGAACGTTCCTTCATAAACGGTGAAGGTCCCAGGAACGTTCCTTCATAAAAGTTGAGGGCCCCAGGGACGTTCCTTCATAAACGGTGAAGGCCCCAGGAACGTTCCTTCATAAAAGGTGAGGGCCCCAGGGACGTTCCTTCATAAACGGTGAAGGCCCCAGGAACATTCCTTCATAAAAGGTGGGGGCCCCAGGAACGTTCCTTCATAAAAGGTGAGGGCCCCAGGAACGTTCCTTCATAAAAGGTGAGGGCCCCAGGAACGTTCCTTCATAAAAGGTGAGGGCCCCAGGAACATTCCTTCATAAAAGGTGAGGGCCCCAGGAACGTTCCTTCATAAAAGGTGAGGGCCCCAGGGACGTTCCTTCATAAACGGTGAGGGTCCCAGGGACGTTCCTTCATAAAAGTTGAGGGCCCCAGGGACGTTCCTTCATAAACGGTGAAGGTCCCAGGAACTTTCCTTCATAAAAGTTGAGGGCCCCAGGAACGTTCCTTCATAAAAGGTGAGGGCCCCAGGAACGTTCCTTCATAAAAGGTGAGGGCCCCAGGAACGTTCCTTCATAAAAGGTGAGGGCCCCAGGAATTTTCATCCCTAAGAGGCGAGGGCCCCAGGAATTTTCATCCCTAAGAGGCGAGGGCCCCAGGAATTTTCATCCCTAAGAGGCGAGGGCCCCAGGAATTTTCATCCCTAAGAGGCGAGGGCCCCAGGAATTTTCATCCCTAAGGCGAGGGCCCCAGGAATTTTCATCCCTAAGAGGCGAGGGCCCCAGAAATGTTGATCCATATAGATAAGAACAGGAGTCATTACACAAGAACGATCTTCTCCACCAAGTTTGCACCCTCCTGACCTTCGATGTCTAAGACCCTGGAAGCCCGAGGTGTCTGGAGATGGGCCCCGGCTCCTGAGGTCTGGCATCATCTGCGTCCAATTACATTGCAGGCCAGAAGGTCAGAGGTCATCCGCTGACATCACTTTCCCAATCAGAACGTAAGGAAAGCATAAAGCTACCTGGGCGATGGAGTCCACCAGTCCGTCTGTGAAGGTCCTCATGGACCAGGTCACGGGACATCTAGTTGTCACCATTTTTGAGCCCCGGACGGTTCTACCCCTTTTTTTTTTTTTGGTAAATACTAGTAATGGCGGCGATCAGCAACTTATAATGGGGTGATAGTGCGGGAGGGCAATCTGACACTGACTCCCCATCCCCCAGACTGACAATGCTGCTGCCCAAAGGTGCTCCTTCCTCCAGAGTGGGGCGCTCTCATACAGGAGGTGTGTTACTGGCCGGATCATCAGGTGACAACAGAGGAGAAAAAACGTAAATAATGGAAAACGAATGCAGCCGCCACCTCTAATGATCAGGAACCTCTGAATTCCCTCATCTTCAGCCGGAACACAACACACAGCTGGAGACGGAACGCTCCTCTGGAACCGCAGCACAGGTGTACCGGCTCCTCCCCCTCCAGTCCTGCACAGGTGTTCTGGCTCCTCCCCTTCAGTCTTGCACAGGTGTACCGGCTCCTCCCCTTCAGTCTTGCACAGGTGTACCGGCTCCTCCCATTCAGTCTTGCACAGGTGTACCGGCTCCTCCCCTCCAGTCCTGCACAGGTGTACCGGCTCCTCCCCTCCAGTCCTGCACAGGTGTACCGGCTCCTCCCCTTCAGTCTTGCACAGGTGTACCGGCTCCTCCCCTTCAGTCTTGCACAGGTGTACCGGCTCCTCCCATTCAGTCTTGCACAGGTGTACCGGCTCCTCCCATTCAGTCTTGCACAGGTGTACCGGCTCCTCCCATTCAGTCTTGCACAGGTGTCCCGGCTCCTCCCCTTCAGTCTTGCACAGGTGTACCGGCTCCTCCCCTTCAGTCTTGCACAGGTTGTACCGGCTCCTCCCCTTCAGTCTTGCACAGGTGTACCAGCTCCTCCCCTTCAGTCTTGCACAGGTGTAACAGCTCCTCCCCTTCAGTCTTGCACAGGTGTACCGGCTCCTCCCCTTCAGTCTTGCACAGGTGTACCGGCTCCTCCCCTTCAGTCTTGCACAGGTGTCCCGGCTCCTCCCCTTCAGTCTTGCACAGGTGTACCGGCTCCTCCCCTTCAGTCTTGCACAGGTGTACTGACTCCTCCCCTTCAGTCTTGCACAGGTGTCCGGCTCCTCCCCTGGACTGGAACGTCTTCCTCTGATCTCACCGCACACTGGGAGCGTCTCACAATGTGCATTAGAAGCTGCAGCCAGTCAGACAGAGCTCCGCCTCATTTCCTGGCTAGGGACATCCAGCATCATGTAGCTCTTTCCTCCCCATCCCTGGCCTTTCATTCATTGGATTTCAGTTCTTTCAATCAGGGAAGCTCAGCACCAGCAAGGTTGGTCTGTGTGCAATTCAAGCTTGGCTAGGAACACCCATTCCTCCAGACCGACGCCCACCCATCCAGGCATTTTGATATTTGCATAAATCCTCCCACTGCTTGCACTAGGACCGAGGGCTCCTGAGAGGAGTGCTGAGGCCAGGGGGCTGGGATGTTTTCAGGAAGCTATGTACAGTGCCCTGCCAGCCCCTCCCACCAGCCAGGATCTGCCTGCCTTGCCTAGAGAGGCACAGAGACCCAGTGATGACATCACTGTGTATAAAACAAGGTGTTATTATTCAGGTGTACGCCGCGCCTTACAACCCGACCAATAGGATGGGAAGGCTTCATTCTGAATGTCATCACCAGGCAATGTCAACATTCACAACAAATATCAGGTGTCATTAGAATATCCCCCGGTGGTCCCGCCATGGAGGTTGCTTCCTGTTACAGGGTGACAACACTCTGTCCCCGCTTCTATATTGACTTCCTGCGTTGTCACCCTGGTGATCCTGCCATGCATGTTCTTCTTCAGGCACTTCCTGTTACAGGGTGACAACGCTCTGTCCCAGTATCCCTATTGCTCTCCTGAGTTGTCACCTTGGTGATGCCGCCATGAATGTCCTTGTTTGGGCACTTCCTGTTATAGGGTGACAACGCTCTGTCCCTGCATGTTCTTGTTCAGGCACTTCCTGTTACAGGGTGACAACGCTCTGTCCCTGCCTCTATATTGAACTCCAGTGTTGTCACCCCGGTGATCCTGCCATGAATGTCCTTGTTCAGGTACTTCCTTTTACAGGGTGACAACACTCTGTCCCAGAGGAGAGGGGAAGAAAGGGTGGGGGGGGGAGAAAGGGGGGGAGAAAGGGGGGGGGGTGAGGGGGGGGAGGGGGGAGAGGGGAAGAAAGGGGGGGGAGAAAGGGGGGGAGGGGGGAGGAGAGGGAAGAAAGGGGTGGAGAAGAGGGGAAGAAAGGGGTGGAGAAGAGGGGGAGAAAGGGGGGGGGGGAGGGGGAGAAGGGGGGGGGGGAGAAGGGGGGGAGGGAGAGGGGAAGAAGGGGGGGATAGAGGGAAAGTGGGGGGGGGAGAGGGGGAAAAGGGGGGGGGAAGAAGGGTGGAAAGAGGGGAAGGGGGGGGGGGGAAGAGGGGGGAAGAAGGGGGGGAAAGAAGGGTGGAAAAGAGGGGGGGGGGGGGAAGAAGAGGGGAAAAAGGGGGGGAAGAAGGGTGGAAAAGAGGGGAAGAAGGGGGGGGGGGTCACATCTTCTCAGTGGGGTCACAGACAGAAGTTAACAAGATTTTTTTGGGGGGGTTCTTTTTACTTCCTGTCCCAGACACACACCAGGTGTCCCCCAAACCCCCCCTTGGTCCCCGTTTCCCCTGGTCATGTGATGCACCAGTTTCAGGCCACGCCCCATTTGCGCCCACAGAACCTTCGCTGTGACTCCGCCCTGATTTGGCGATTTCCTGTGCGATTCTCAGACATTTGCGCAGGAAGTCGCAGGGACGTCGGTGAGCCGCACATGAAGCCGCCCCGGCCGGCTCAGTAGCCACATTGCAAAGCCGCATTCAGCGCGCACGCCGGGCCATGGGGCTCATTCACAACGGGTGGGACCCTCGCCGCCCCTCAAGGGAACAGAAATGCGCCAAATCGCTTTTTGTCTTCAGCATTTACCAGGCGGCTGGGAGGGGATTTGTTGCCTCCTCGCCGCCCCTTCTAACCCCAGAAAACCTGAACCACCGCGCTCATTTGGGCGCAGCGCCATTCACTGGGACGCCGTGCACTGCAGAGCGCTGTGGAAGTTTTTCTGTGAGCCCCCCCCCCCTCTCTCTGGCCACCGTGCTAAGGGGGGTGGGGTGGTAAAAATTGCACCTGAACTTTTTTTTTTTTCTGCGCGCGAATGAGCCCCATGAGCAGGTGACCCGGGTGGACGATTTCTTCCCTCTTCCTGTGCTGGTGACAACGGTTAGTATTTTGGATCCCATCACCGATAGAGAGGAGTGAAGCCCCCCTTTCCCCCACCTAAAGTAGGGGGTCTAGCCCCTCCCCCATCCATACAAAAGTGGAATCAGTTTGTACCTTTAGGAGTCGCACGGCGCAGCCATCGCAGGGAGGTTTGTCCGGCTCGCTGCTCTCATCTTCTCTGGGGCTCCAGCATCTTACAGAGTCCCAAAAATCCTCCCCCCATGCAGGACCCCCCCCACCCCCCATCAGATGGAGCTCCTCCCTCACCTGGGCAGGCTTCCCCCTTCCCTCCACAATCATGGCCCCGAGCTGGCTGTGCCCCCTCCCCCTCTGCCCTTACCTGTCCTGCCCTTACCTGTCCCTTCCCCCTCCTGACCCTTCCCTTCCCCCTCCACACTGGGGCTCCTCCATCCATCCACCAGAACACGTGTTTTCTGGGCGCCCCAGCTGGTCACATCGGGGAAGTGCAGCCACCTGGTTACTCATCACACAGAGGATGTTGTTTCATCCGGAAAACTTCGCAACATTTTCTTTGATGAAGATCTCCCAGTGCGGGAAACATGTCAGAGGAAGAGAAATGTCCCCGATGGTGAAAGAATGACGAACAGGCTGGCCAGGAATGCGGGGGAAGGGCTGCGATTTTCCCATCGGTCGTGAAAATTAAAAAAAAAAAAAAAAGCGACAATCGTGGATAACTCGCCTGCCGCGTCGCGTTTTTGGAGCGGAGGGAACACGCTAAGGGCCGGGTTCACACTCCATGCGTTTCAGACGTTTTTTTTTCCTGCCTTCAAAACACACAGAACCTTCAAAACAGGTGATAGGGTGGGTGGTCAGTGTCACAGATCACATCAGGGCTTTGTCGTTCCGGATGCAGGGAAAAAAAGAGTAGCACAGGCGGCATTTTTCCTGCACAGAACTGCACTGGAACGCGGTAAAATATACCCCAAAAACGTATAAAAAATGCATCAAAAAACACCAGAACGCACCAGAACGCATCCCAAAAATGCATCAAAAATGCATCAAAAAACACCAGAACGCACCAAAAATGCATCAAAAATGCATCAAAAACACCAGAACGCACCAAAATGCATCAAAAAACAGACCAGAACGCATCAGAAACGCATAAAAAAATGCATCAAAAACACACTGGAACGCACCAAAAATGCATCAAAAACACCAGAACGCACCAAAATGCATGCAAAATGCATCAAAAAAAACAGACCAGAAACGCATCAGAAACGCATCAAAAATGCATCAAAAAACACACCGGAACGCACCAAAAATGCATCAAAAAACACCAGAACGCACCGAAAACGCATCAAAAATGCATCAAAAACACCAGAACGCAGCAAAAATGCATAAAAAATGCATAAAAAACAGACCAGAACGCATCAGAAACGCATAAAAAAAATGCATCAAAAACACACCGAAACGCCACCAAAAATGCATCAAAAAACACCAAACGCACCAAAAATGCATCAAAAAATGCATCAAAAACACCAGAACGCAGCAAAAATGGCATCAAAAATGCATATAAAACAGACCAGAACGCATCAGAAACGCATAAAAAATGCATCAAAAACACACCGGAACGCACAAAAAAATGCATCAAAAACACCAGAAACGCACCAAAAAATGCATAAAAAAAAACAGACCAGAACGCACCGAAAACGCATCAAAAATGCATCAAAAACACCAAAACGCACCAAAAATGCATCAAAAAATGCATCAAAAACACCAGAACGCACCAAAAATGCATCAAAAATGCATCAAAACACCAGAACGCACCAAAAATGCATCAAAAACAGACCAGAACGCATCAGAAACGCAAAAATGCATCAAAAAATGCATCAAAAACATGACAAACGCACCAAAAATGCATCAAAAACATGCACCAAACGCACCAAAATGCATGCAAAAATGCATCAAAAACAGACCAGAACGCATCAGAAACGCATCAAAAAAACATGCATCACCAAAAATGCATCAAAAACGTGGAACGCACCGAAAATGCATCAAAAATGCATCAAAAACACCAGAACGCAGCAAAATGCATGCAAAAATGCATCAAAAACAGACCAGAACGCATCAGAACGCATAAAAAATGCATCAAAAACACACCGAACGCACCAAAAAAATGCATCAAAAACACCAGAACGCACCCCCAAAAAAAATGCACAAAAAACACCAGAACGCACCGAAAACATGCATCAAAAATGCATCAAAAACACCAGAAACGCAGCAAAAATGCATAAAAAATGCATAAAAAACAGACCAGAACGCATCAGAAACGCATAAAAAAATGCATCAAAAACACAACGGAAACGCACCAAAAATGCATCAAAACCCCCCCCCTCCCCCTCCCCCCCCCACCCCCACCCCCCGCACCCCCACCCCCCCCCATCAATCCCAT